CCGCGGTCCTCTTACAAGGAATAAAATGGACCATCTTGGAAAAACGATCAACGACCACAAAGATAGAATCATTACCTCGTTGCGTGTGAGGCAAACCCAAGACGAAGTCCATGCTAATCGCGGTCCACGGGCGAGATGGAATCGGCAAAGGCCTGTAAAGGCCGGCATTGGACGCCACAGCCTTAGACACCTGACAAGTACGACAACGCTTCCACGAAACGAGCCACATCGCATCGTAAAGACGGCCAGAAGAAGGAGCGGCCCACCAGGGCGACGGAACGATCGCGGCCCACGTGCCCGATACCATGAAGGTCGGCCACCACCTTCAAACGCAGGCTACAGTCGGGAATGCATAACCGCACACCGCGGAATAAGAACCCATCCGAAAAGGCATAATCATCGATAGGCCCGAAGCGAGACAAGTAAAAATGGGCCCGAAAAAAGGGTCCGCAGCATAGAGTTCCTTCAATAAATCGAATCCCACAACGTCAACACGCATATCCGTCAACAACATCGAACGACGACTCAAGGCATCGGCCACGCGATTGAAAACCCCCGAACGATGCTTCAGCACAAAAGTGAATTGTTGCATAAAAGAAGTCCATGTAGCATGGCGAGCAGAGATATTCCCTTGAGAGCAAAGGTGGCGAAGGGCCTCGTGGTCGGAGAATAAAACAAACTCTCGATGGAAAAGATAATGCCTCCAATAAGTAACAGCCCGAAACACGGCATAGAACTCGACGTCGTAAGTGCTGTAGCGCAACCGCGGCCTAGACAATTTCTCACTAAAGAAGGCAACAGGCCTGCCCTCCTGGCTCAACACGGCACCAATCCCAACCTTCGAAGCATCACATGAAAGCTCAAACGGGAGAGAAAAATCAGGAAGGGCCAAAATCGGGGCAGACGTGAGCTTACTCTTGATAAGGTCAAAAGCAGCCGCGGCCTGAGGGGTCCAGACAAAAGACTTGTCGTGAAGACAGTCAGTGATAGGCGCAGTAATAGAACTAAAATTCGAAATGAAACGACGATAAAAGGAAGCCAAACCGTGGAAACTCCGTGCTTCGGTGAAAGACGTCGAAGTCGGCCAGTCCCGAATGGCAGCCACCTTGCCGTCGTCCACACGAATGCCAGCCGCAGAGATGACAAAGCCCAAAAATAGAACCGAATCAACCATAAAAGAGCACTTCCGAGGCGCAACAAAGAAGGACTCTGAATGTAAAATCAGCAAAACCGCCCGCACATGATCCAAATGCTCGGTGACATTGCGACTATAAATGAGGATGTCGTCGAAATAAACGACGACACACCATCCAATAAGGTCACGCAACGCCTGGTTCATCACTCGCATGAAAGTGCTAGGTGCATTCGACAGACCGAAGGGCATCACCAGCCACTCAAAAAGACCCTCCCGGATCTTGAAGCCGGTCTTCCACTCATCGCCTGGGCGAATCCGAATTTGGTGATAGCCACTGCGAAGATCAAGTTTGGTAAAAACTGAAGCGCCATGCAACTGGTCCAAAAGGTCATCGAGGCGGGGAATAGGAAACCTGTAACGGACCGTGATCTTATTAATAGCACGACTGCCAACACACATACGCCATGAGGCATCCTTCTTTGGAATGAGCAGGGCCGGCACAGCACACGGGCTCAAACTGCGACTAACAACCCCTCGCTGTAATAACTCCTCCACTTGCCGGCGCAACTCTTCATGTTCAGGCGGGCTCATACGATAATGAGGACGATTAGGCAGAGAAGCTCCCGGTATCAAGTCAATATGATGTTGGATGTCCCGAAGAGGAGGGAGGCCGGATGGTAACTCAGTAGGGAACACATCAGAGAACTCCTCGAGTAAAGGCTGAATAATGGTCGGAGGAGCCGTAGCAGTCTCCACATCCACACCAAGAAGAAGCAGAATATAAGGAGCCTCCCGCATCTCCTCGAGAAAAGCCGCGCGATGCAAAAAGAGAACTGGGGAAGGCGTGTACTGTGGAACCGGGCGAGGAGATGAAGAATGAAGCACCAAATGAACGCCCTGAAACAGGAAGCTGTAAGTGTTGGGGCGTCCGTCATAAGCCACCGAACGATCGAACTGCCAAGGACGACCTAAAAGGAGGTGACAGGTGTCCATGGGCACCACATCACACCACGCCGAATCACGATACTTGGGGCCAATCGAGAATTGCACCAAGACCCGACGATCAACCTTGATGGAATTGCCCCGCTGAATCCACGCCAGAGTATATGGATGAGGGTGCGGGACCGTGGACAATTGAAGACAATCAACAGCATCCTGAGCGACAACGTTTTCACAAGAGCCAGAGTCAATAATGAAACGACAAATACGACCACCTACCGTACACGTGGATTCAAAAATATTGTGCCGCTGCAACGAGTCATTAGTTGATGCCCGAGGTGACAAACACGAACGACGAATAACCAACGCCAAGCCCTCGTTGCCACACAGATGCTCCTCCACCGGCTCAGACTCAACGTCATAAATAGGCGGGCCATCATACTCCGCCCCTGTGTCGCCGTCGACGTCCTCCGCCAGCAAAGTGCGGTTGCCGCCGCGCCTAGGACACGCGGACTGGCGGTGGCCGGTCTCACCACACGAAAAGCAACGTGGCCCACCACCCGTACGGGCATTCTCCGTCGCTGCAGCTCCGCCAACCCCGCCCATGTGTCCGGTCGACACCCTTGTTGCCGCGCCGCTGCGGGAAGCCGGGAACCCGTCTGTAGCAGCCGACCGATTCTGCCCAGACGAGGAAGAAGACGGCAACCCCGAACGTGGCTGAAACCCGGACGATGAGGAAAGACGCCGCGAGAGTTGCTGTTCAATGAGCAAGGCCCGTTGATGGGCAGCTGAAACCGTGTCAGGCGCAAATAAATTCAACATGTCCCGAATTGCGAGACGTAACCCTCCCACATAACGAGAGACCTTCTGAGCCGTCGTCTCACGAAGTCACGTGTGAGTAGACGGTAAAAATCTTCTGTGTATTCATCCACGAATCGAGCACCTTGACGCAAATTTTGAAGTTGTTGATAGATGGTACTCACGTAATTAAACGGAAGAAATTCCCTCTCGATATGCTTCCGGAACTTGGCCCATGTCACGATTTTAGGTTTACCCAGTTGACGTCTCGAGTCCTTGAGGTGCTGCCACCACGCCACAGCCCTACCTCGCAGCCGTGTGCCGACGAGGCCCACCCGATGGTTATCTGGGACATCCTTGTACTCGAAAGCCGCTTCCACTGATGCGATCCAATCGAGAAAATCGGCTGCATCTAGCGCACCCGAGAACTCCGGTATTTCCACACGGAACAGATTCTCCCAACGCCGCTCGTCGCGTGCCTTCTCATCTGCTCGTGGGTAACCCCGGCCGAACGGGTTATACTCCTCCTCCGTAGCATCCGAATCACCGCCCTCCTCCTCGCACGGCGAAGTCCGTCTGCCACCAAAGCGCGCGTGGCCGCGCCTCCCACGGCCACCACGATGCCCACCGCGACTGCCGTCTCGACCCTCGAGCCCGCCGCGGTTCGTTTGGTCGCGTCTCATCAGCGTTTGCAGAGCCTCGCGGATATCGTCCATGCCCGCCGCCAAATCCGACATATCCCGGTCCATTGACTGGAACTGCCGCCCGAAACCCTCGTCCTGTCGCGTGAGGGCTTCAATTGCTGCATCTCGTCTCTCATCAGCCGTGGTGTCGTTCCTCTTGGGCGGCATCGTGGATCGTAGCTAACCTTGGATACCAACTGATGTAGCGCAGCGTAAACGAAAAGGGAACAAGAGATAAATCTCAAGATACGATAAAATTATTCATAAACAACCAAGTCTTCTCAAATGAAAGAGACGCTATAAATAAAGTCTCAACTAATCCTAACCCTAAACTTACTAAGCAAGTAAAAATAATAACTTAGAAAAATAAAATAAAGCATAATAATAAAATATCTAGGAGAGAAATAACTAAACTAAAAATAGTAAACGATCATATTTTTCCATAAATGCTAATGCGATCTCCTCTCCATCAGTGGGTTTAGCTCCAAAGAATTCGTTGTAATAAATGCACTTTTTTATTCTTTAAGAAGAAAGAAAATATATTTTTATTTAATTTTAATTTTATTTTTGATAAATTAAAAACACTTAAACGAACACGTTGCAACACTTGCATTAGCTTGCGTAAACATATTTGTTCAAATTGTTTTTTGTTTGTCTACATATTCAAATTATTTTATCTATTTCTTATATAATTTAAAATGGACGTTATTCATACTTTATTTTTTAACCAAACAAAATATACCTCTTATATTTTCATCTCATCCTAATAACCAAACTAGAGAAGTAGATCTATCTTTTAGTTAGTGCCTTCCATTTTATTCTATTCCGCTAAAATTCTCCATCTCTTTCCATGAAGGCGTGAACCAAACAATCTCAACTCTTAAGGATTATTTCCACATATATTCATTTCATTATTAATCAAAATATTGACTATTAGGATATCCAAATTTGACCTTCAGGAGATGGACCACTTTATAAGCAAACGTGATAAGGAACAATATACGTTATCTACTCCATAGAAAATACAGTAAAAAAACAATTTTGCTACTACAGTGTGTAAACCTTATTTCCTTTTCATCTAAAAAAATGAAAAAAAAAAAGAAAAAAAAAAAGAGAAAAAAAAAAAAAACTTTCCAATTGGATCTAAACCTGCTTAGGGACTTAGTATACTACGGCGGCTCGTGCCGAGTATCGAGTATGATATGTTTGAACTAATGTTCGTTAGACAAGCAAGCTACAAACAAATATATATTTAGAATTTACTCGTGTAAGATTAATCTCGTTCGGCGTGTTCATAAAGAAATAAATTAAGCTCAACTCGTTTTTATTTACAGTTATACGGGAGATTTAAAATCCTAATTAGCTTCAAGGTACATAGGTTAAGTATTGTATCAACTAATGCAACCTGTTTAAGTATACAAACTAGTCAAGAACTCAAGATCAAGCTCAACTATATAATGAAAACACTTGCAAAAATCTCAAAATTCACAATCTCATCACCTGGGGAAAACATTAGAACAATATAAACCGAGATTTTCAAAGCAGCAACTTAAAGAGGCCGATATTACAGATTCCCTTTAAGGGGCTCAAAATGAAACTCAAACTTGTCCTCAACACTTTCAAGGAACAAAATGGACAAAAATACCACATATATATCCTTACAATCTCTTTGTAAAGTGATATCTTGTGCATGTAAAACACAAAGATACGTATAATAATACTTAGAAATAGCAAAAAGTACAAAGGCAAAAGAAAATATCATGTAAGTGAAGCAAAAACACAGTTCTGAAAGGATATAATCATGCTTTCAAGCATATTTTTGTAGAGCCATACAAGAAAATACTTATTAGGACCCATTTCCTCATCCAGCCATTTTATTCAAGCGGTGAATAGTGCTTCGTGCGACTCTATTCCCAGGATCGATATTCATGACAGTTCTGAGGTCTTCAGCCCCAAGCTTGTATTTTTCCATGCTCTCATAAAGGAGTGCACGTTGCACTAGAACATTCACATTCTTACAGTCGTGTTCTAGAACCTGCATGGGATAATCCGACTTTTCAAAATCAATTGAATATGCTATAAGCATATTTTTTTATGAATGTAGAGGAATTTCGGTTGTGAGAAATATTAAAAATAAAAAAAAGATAATACATAGTAATATGACAATCAATTCTGATCCTATAGAAAGTTTTTACACTTGTAAATGGTCATTCTATCTACAACTCATCGCGACCATTGGAGTAGACAACTTACAAAACCACTTCAAGTGCCTAGTTGTTATTTGTGAGGGTTAAAAATGGATATCCATATGCAAACACTTCAAAATTACACCATATTAACAGAACAGAAACCTCAATAGTGTTTTTTTTTTATTTGATTTGATTTTATTTTTTTAACATATTAACAACCATTTTCATGCTTCTTGGATGAATCACAGTATTAACAACCATTTTTTTAACATATTAACAACCATTTTGATAGCACACTCCACCTTTTCATGTATGATAAACTAAAGAATAAAAGGCAACAGGACTTCATCATATTATTCCTGAATGGTGACTCGACAGAAGCAGTAAACAAGACAGAGTGCTACCTAAGTGTTAATTTTGAATTTAGTATCCTTCCCCATAACAGCACCTAGTCAATATAGAACATATTTCATCAGTTCAACTATTATATACTAGAGTCCGCCGTGTGTCCGAGAAATATTATATTTTAATGTCCTTCCCCTTCTATAAATAGCGAGCCCTTGGTAGAAGCAAGAAAAAAGGAGAAAAATAGAGGAAAAAATCCCATGAAATACTACATGAGAAATTTTCGCAAATACTATAGTTAATGGCCTTCGATAGGCCTCTGTAATAAAGAGGTCCGATAGCGGCCCAAATTCCTCAATAAATCCCCAGTGCATGCGTATCAACACAAGTACCTAATTCGTCTGTTCCTATTTCCTTTTCCGTTTTTATATCCATCTATATTTACATTAAAGCACTAGTCGCGACCCCAATATAGCATTCCCATATATTTATTTATTAAATTAAAGACTGGTCATTCATCCATATAGCAACAATTACGCATTTTCTGCAGTATTCTAGATAATACCTCATTAACTATGAAAACACAGTACACAGATCATGCCATCGAAATCGAATTTCCAGCCTGATCTGAATTGTGAAATTTCATCACACGGCAATGACTCACGAATTACATGATCACACAAAATACGACTGTGTAAAACAAATGAAGTTTACCTTAGTACAGTCAGCCACGGCCTTCTTATACTCCCCAACTTCCTTATAGCACGATGCTCGACAGGTCAAAACCTCTGTCGTGCCATCATCATCACTGGCCTTCTCAAGCAGAATAACAGCCCAAGACAACCATTTAATAGCATCTGCAAACTGCCCCTGCTTGTAATTATCCATACCCTTACTTTTGGCAGCCGAGGCCGAAACACCGACAGGTGGCGGTGGAAGGCCCTCAAGTTCGGTCGTTGTATCATTTCCCCCAACAAACTCCGAATTCACTCCCCAGTCATCATCCCCCGAGACCTGCTTGGCTGCAAACCCTTCATTTGAAGAGAAAAGTGCATCAAAATCATTTGCTCCCGAGGATTGTTTAGGAGGCTGAGTTTGATTTTTGGATGAATTATTAGAAAACCCAAAATCACCAAGTGGATCACTGTCACTCGCTGGAAAAGACTGAAATGAAGATCCACTGGCTTTCGAAGTGGTGCTTTGAAAATCCCCAAAAGAATCGGTTTCCAGATCACTCTTGGTGCTAGCTTTACTAGCTGAGCTCTTACCTGCAGAGGGTTTGGACCCGAAATTAAGCAGGGATCCAAATGGGTCCTTATTAGAACCCATCCCCATGCCTCCTATTCCACTTCCCGTCATATTTTTCATCGATGAACCTCCAATATTCGGTTTTATAGTGCTGTTTGCACCCAAATTCAAATTTCCACCACCAAGACTTGAACTTTTGTTATAATTCCCACCCAAATTCACATTTCCACCAATACTACCGACATTAGATCCCCAAGTTTTGCCATCATTACCTGAATTAAGAGTTTTTGGCAACGAATTGGCCATAGATCCCATTTGGAATGTGTTCTGGCTTGCAGCATTACCAGAGCTTTTCAGAGGGGCATTGTTGCTACTCTTGTTCTGGCCAATTGCTGAGCTAAGCAGATCTCCAAACAGATTAGGGTTATTATTGTTCACAATCCCTATACCCGACGCGCTCGAGCTCGATGACGCAGAGGAGTTCCAGCTCTTCCCGAAAATATCCCCCACCATGGATGTCGGCCCGGATAAGGATCCCAGCCCGGTCGATTGGATCGGGGCTGGAGGCTGATGGGTCCAGGCCGGCTTGTTGGGCTGGTGGCTCCAGGACGACGTCGTGTTCGGCCTTTGCTGGGCGTACGTCCCTGATGAATACGTCGGTGTCGTATGGCTTTTCTGACCATTCATGGGCGTGGCGCGGCCCGAGCCCAGCCCGAGATCGAAATCGAAGGCGTCGGTTTTGTTGTTTCGATTTCCATAGCTCGAATTCATGATTCCTTTAGCCTTATCGCTCCTAGTGAGTCTCTTGAGATTATGGAGAAATGGATTGATGTCTGTAAAACCAAATCTAGAAGCAAAACAATGAGAAGGTTGTAAAAAATGTAGATCGGGAAGTATGAAAAAGGAGATCTAATAACAAAACGGAATTTGTTTATTGATCGGAACTGTTTTTTTATCACAGGGTGAGTTTTGGCGATTCCAAAAGTTTCAACAGTATCATTTGTATTATGTATTCTTATTTTTCTATATGAATATTACAAAGAACAATTTTTTTCCAAATACATATTTAAATATTAATTTTATTACCTGTTATTTCACAATTTTAAATAATATAATAATTTTTATTTAGTAGTTTGTTTGTTTTTGAATCTAAATAAATATAAACTTAATTGACTCATCCAACATGACAAATTTTAGGTGTAGGGCTGCAAACGAACCGAGCCGAGCCGAGTCGAGCATTGACCGTATCGAACAAGATTAAATTTTTATTTTAGTCGCTCGAGCTCGACTCGATAAAAAAATACAATAGTTCGAGCTCGGCTTGAGTTCGACTCGAAATCAAATGCTCGAGCTCGGCTCGAAAATTTTAAGTGAAATTACCATTAAGCACTAGTGTTATACTATTTAAATATATATATATGTAAGGATATTTTAGTAATTTAATATATATATCGAGTCGCTCAACAATACAAAATATGGGCTTGAGCTCGACTCGAGTTCGTGCTCGAGCCGCTTGAGTTCGACTCGAGTTCGGTCAAACTCAATCTCGAGTCGAGCTTTGACTCGAGCGCTTGTGAGCAGCTTGTGAGCCGCTCGACTGGTTTGCAGCCCTAGGTATTGAGATCTAACTACACTCGGGTTCTTGGATATACTAGCAAAACAATTTGCTATGGTTGGAGTTTCAGAATCTTTGACAATTTTTTTTCTTTATCCCAAATTGAAAGAAAAAGGAAGGGGATACAATTTTTTTAACCCAAATTTTTATTTATTTTTTAAATTTATTACTCTAATTCCAACGTAATCAATCGACATTAAATTTTGAACAAATATTTACAAGAGATCTATCTAATAGGATATTAACGAAAACAAATTAATCAATTAAATGTGATTAATAGATAAAACTTGGGGCAACAGTTGAAACTTAAAAGTAAAAAAGAAAAAGGAAGTAAATTAAGGATATTCCCTCTATATATAATTTCAGAATGCGCTGAGTCTACATATAGTTTCAGAATGTGTTGAGTCTACGTGGCAAATTCCATGCTTCGAAATCTAATTTGGCAAAAAACCATACTTTGGAGTTAGACTTTGATAGAAATTAATATTTTTTATCACACTAAATCCATGATTGATTTTTTCTTTCTTTACTTCTACAATTAGTTACCATAAACTATTTTATGTTTCATTTTCCTAAATTACCATACATCACATTTCATTTTCTTATATAATTCGTTCATTGGTTTTTATAAATGTTTTTTTTTCTTATTTTAAGGTTTTATAACTTTTTTGTTTGTATTTTATTTTTCATATATGATCTATCAAATTAACTATGTTTTAACGATTTTCGATTTGACATCTATATTATAATATATAATACAAAACAGTAATATATATCCTTATAAATAAAATTTAAATTTATTTATCAAACTAAATTAAATTATATCAAATAAAACTATGAATTATATTATAAAGTAATGGAAATTGGTATGAATTCTTTTAAAAATGATATTTATTTCAAATCTAATTGGTATGTTGTCAATCTAATAAAAATAAATAATTATTTATCTAAATTCTAAAATTACATATAAAGTTAAAAAACTGTGAAGCACGACTTATACAACACTTGATGTATTAGGCATCTAATTAAGTAAAAAAATTAATCTATTTTTCTTAATATTAAATAAATATATTCTACACTTATGCTGTTATGCATATACATATCACCATATTATTTCTATTTATTTAAGATATATATTTTTATACTTATGTAATAGTAAATAATATCGATATTTTTATATGATATAATTAAAAACACTCAACACGAGTTGACATTTTCATTTAATGTACGGGTGTTTAATTATTATGATTAAAAAAAATATAATTTGACAATTTAATTAAAACCCAAAGTAATGTTTTATATAAAATTTAATTATTTTAGTTTTTAAAAAAATACAAAATTTAATAATTTTTACAAAACCTTTCTAATTCAACACCCGTGTAATACACGAGTATTGTACTAGCGAAACAT